GTTTATTGAAAAACTGTATAAGAATAATACATTAAAAAAGGGGCGAAGTAGAAGGTTACAGAGTACGACGTGATGCATTATGCAACAAGGAGCTCTGCAACAACACAAAAATATATTAATAAACATAGGTTGAATTATGCAAGGACAAACTAAAAAGCATGTCTTCAGTTCACATTCTGTTAGCAGTTAAGGTCATACTAAATAACACACACAGGCAAAACTAAGATGAACAGATGGTGCAAAGATAGGAGGACGACAACTACAGGAACAAAGCGCATTTTGAAGATGTCACAGAGACTTATTGCAGCAACCTGGTCGACTGTTTTTGTGTGATTTTGAGCAGAACAGATGGCATCAGATATCTGTGATTCTTGCCAGTTCTCATCACACAGGCAACATGGAAAGTTCCCACCTATGATGCTGAGCTTTTTAAGGCTAGTGTATGAGACAAGAAGTACCTTAGTTATATCTCGCACAGGCTCCGCCCTCTACTGGACTCTATGGTTACTACCTCTCAACCATACTATGTGAGCATTCATCAACTGAGATATCTATAACCGTAGCCGGCCCCCTGGGGCGGGCCTACCTGAATGCGTGCGCAAGCCCACCGTATATAAGGCGGCCTCGCCTCCTGACTGTCATCCTTCTCTCTTCAGCGAGCAAGGGAACAACTGAGCGCTAAGACATGTCTGGCTCCTTCTCATCATCTGTGCTTGCTGCGGCAACACAGGACTGGTGAGGGGGGGAGGGGCTGTGAGTCAGCAGGTATCTGACCCCCCCCTGGACATAGTGCACTTATGTGTTCCCATGCTCCTTAGGGACCCGGGAAGCATGGTGCACAGTGAGCCCCATACAGGGCTGGGAGCCCTCCTCACTGTTTTCCAGGCACACTATTCACGAGGTAAGCGTGTCTGAGTGTGCCCACCAGCCAGGTAAACTGCGGCCCCCACTTCTCCCCGGTCACAACCGGAGGAGAGGAGGTTGCGGTGCAGTGGCTGTTAGCGAAAAGCCGGTCAGGGGCAGTGTGGTGACTCGATGTTGTTGGACGACAGGGCGTTTAGGCATCAGGGCTCCACCCACTGTACCCATAGAGTCCAGTAGAGGGCAGAGCCTGTGTGAGATATAACGGTGGGTTACGTATTGTACCCATAGATTGTAACCCTAGTTATATAAGCACAGGCGGAGCCCTCTACTCGGGGCCCTGTCTGTCCTTTGCCGCTCGCTGAAGAGAAGTGTAGGATGACAGTCAGGAGGCGAGGCCGCCTTATATACGGTGGGCTTGCGCACGCAATCAGGTAGGCCCGCCCCAGGGGGGCGGCTACGGTTACAGATATCTCAGTTGATGAATGCTGACATAGTATGGTTGAGAGGTAGTACCCATAGAGTCCAGTAGTAACGGTAGTAACCCACCGTTTTCTTATTCTTTTCCTAAAAGATGTAGATTTGGATATATTAAAGAGGACATATTCTGCTCATTTTCAAGTTTATATTTGTATTGTGTGTCTCTACTGGGACATGTCTCCATGCATTGATGTTCAAAAAGCTCTTTATTTCTCTCATACTGCCTGTGCTGCAGCACCTCTTTTCACCCTCTGTCTGAAACCAGAGCCCAGTTTGCTCTGATTGGTTAGCTGGCCGGCTCTGTTGTGATTGGTCAACCGCTTAGAGATATCCCGCCACTTAGCCTATCACGTACAATGTGTTGGAGCGCTAGCCAAAAGAAGCGCCAGTGTTATGTAGTGATGTCGCGGAAAATGTTACCATTTGCAGACTATTTACATGCACCAATACTTATATAACACATCCCATGAAATGGAAAATGCCACAAAGCATAAAAGGGCCCCTTAACTTTATTATTGTAAATCTAGATTAGACTTGTATTCATATTCTGTAATGGTTTATTTTTACTGTAAGAGATCGCTCCCCGGTGCATTTATTTCAGTGATGCTGTGGATGTAAGGAGTTTAGTGGAAGCTGCTAGACTAGTTGTGGAGACACAAGGTTTTCCTACTGTTTCATGTCCAATCAGTTTTAAGTTTTATCACATCCAGCATCATCTCTTTAGATTTACCCGCTTGACACATGTGGAACTAGGTTTTTTCCCCCCCCCTCAACTCTAAAATGGACCTCAAAAAGGATTTTATAAAGCTAATCGGATAGACACACGTAGTCCATGACAAAAAACATTCGTGCAGTTACAGCTGACAGTTGATGTTAAGCAGAGGGGATTCATTGATGCACTCTCCTTCACCCTTCTCCTTCTTCTCCCTGCCCAGGCCTCATTATCCACGAGGGATCGTCAGTGTATCGGATCTTCAAACGGTGGCAGGCTGTCAATCAGCAGTGGAAAGTACTGAACTATGAGAAATCAAAGGACCTGGGCGACCCGCTGAGCTCGAACAGAAAGACGGGCGCGCCTGGATCCCGCGGAAATCCTCACGGTCTGGCCAGCAGCAGCGCGGGGCGACAGAGCAGGAGGTTAAGAACTATTCTGAACCACCACTGTGGATACACCATCTTGCACATCCTCAGCCAACTGCGGCCTCACGACCCGCGGATCAGCGCCGTCGCCAGCAGGGAGGTGGTGATGAGGGTCACCACCGTATGAGATGCACCGGGGGCATGCGTGGTGGGATACACCTGATGTAAATGAGCCTCGTGGACCTATTATTAAAGAACTACAGACTCATGTGAGTGACGCCTCATCGACAGACACTTGAGGATTTCTCCTCGTGTTTTGTAAGAGGCCAGATTCTCCTTTTCAATAATTAAAGAACTGATGGATGCATTAAAAAGACATGAAAATGAAATGTGTGCAGGAAAAAAAGTGTAACAGGCTTTATAACCTAATCCAAGATGACGAGACGTTTTTTCCAGTTCAATATCAGGATGCACAAAGACATGTTTCTTTGATTTTAACCTCTTGGTTTGATTTGTATCTTCTCTTTGTTTGTTTTTTACTCATTTTAATTTTGTACGGATGTATGATTTTAGAGGAAAACATGTAACTCCATACATGCCAAGCATTTTCAGACGACTATGTGTAATGATCTTTCACATTTCTACAAGATAACCAATGCTGGTTAAAAAAAAGACCGAAAACTGAAACAAACAACACGAGGGAGAAACACAGGGGCGACAACAGAACAATAAGTCATAACGAGTAAAAAAAGAAAAAAAAGAATTTCAGTGACACTTTTCTGCAATAAAGATACGTATGTACATTTCACAGGGAATTTTGCATGGGTATATAATTTATTCTTCATCACATAACATAAGCACATGACAAAGTTGCTCTATTTCGAATGGTGCTTGCCAAAAATAAACACTTTAGAAACATCTGATTTCATTGCACCCACTTTTTGTCAACATGACAAATGGCAGTGTGTTACAGCTATTTCAGCTAACATACAGATTGTTGCTGCTGTGTGCTGATTCAGATTTGATAATAAGTAAACTATTGGATTAAAAATGGGGATCAGACGATCTCTTACTACTCATTCTCACTCTGTCTCTTCTTTTCCTGAATCTTAAAGCATGCGTGGCCTGCAGGGTCTCGTTGTCTGCTGTAAAGTGATGTGATGTTGTTTCAGCGTCATCAACTGCAAAAAGGATTTGTATTTATTACCTTGTTTAAAAGGGCCCTGTTTTGCTAATTTTCAGGTTTCGTAATCGTATTTTGTGCCTCTAACATCTGTACATGCTTTAATGTTCAAAAAGCTCTTTATTTTTCTCATACTGCCTGTGCTGCAGCACCTATTTTCACCCTCTGTCTGAAACCAGAGCCCAGTCTGCTCTGATTGGTTAGCTGGCCGGCTCTGTTGTGATTAGTCAACAACATAGAGATTTCCTGACCCTTAGCCTATCACGTACAATGTGTTGGAGCGCTAGCTAATAGAAGCGCAAGTGTTACATACATAGTGATGTCACTATGTTACAGCAGTAAACAAAGGAGGCATGTCAGGCAGGAGGAGGGGGGGGGGGGGGGGGGGGGGGGTGCGGGAGAGAAACTCCCTTTGGAGGGAACTTTGGGAGGGAACTTTGGGATTTTAACCTTTGCAGACCATTCACATGCACTAAAGCCATATAAAACACCACAGGAAAGGGAAAACCCCCAAAAAGCAAAATAGCGCCCCTTTAATCTGACTAAAACCCCTCGAAAGCAAATTACATTTAATCAGAGTAAAGCTGCATCAAGTAGGCAATTCATTGAGTCCACTTGAGCCATTTTCACGCAATATTTATATTTTGTTTTATTGAATAGTAAAAAGACTATTGGGGGGTGTTAAATAGCACACGATAGTTTTTGGATGTTACACTAATTAATTGGGAAAGTAGTTGGTCTATTAACCATAAATGAAAAATCATAATTAGTTGCAGCCCAAATAAAACTGATTTTATGTTGTTTTAAGCGTCAAATATATAAACAACTGTATTCAAGCTGCTCAGATTCAATTGATCAATTCAAGTAAAGTCAAAAACAAATCTGGTTAAATCCAGACACCAATGTTAAAACTGATACATTTCGTATGACTGGGCTCCTAAGGACAATCAATGAAGCCTGAAAATAAAAATCTCAACTCATATTTTCAGCTTTTATAGTAGGCTTTACACAAAATAACTATTACATTACTTTAATAACATAAGAGGAAGTAATACATACATCCCAAAGTCAAAATATGATAAAACAGATATATAAATACACTGAATAACGTAAAGTAGAAAAACACCTCAGTTTACATCCCATGTACACACAAATAAAACCTTGTGTGTAAATGAAATGTGTCAAAGAATAGTTCAGTCAGTATTTGTCTCCACCCAGTGGCTGCTGCTGCTCTGGTCAGCTTCTTCTTCACCTGTTCCTGTAGTAGGATATTTAAAAACACACTCCTTTCTGCTGCTTGATGGTGTTTTACAGTCTTTTATTTTGAAATATGTTAGTCTAGTTTCCGGCTGATCCAGGATCAGTTTAGACTGTTTCACTTTGGAATCCGGGTCATGTGACTTCAGGAAAAGTTGTGAAACTTGCAGGTGTGTGTGTGTATGTGTGGTCAGGTAGCTTCCTCCTCCGCCACCCTCCGTCCTTACCTGTCCGGTGAGTCTGCGCCTCACACCGGAGGGACGGTGTCCAACCTGCCGCTGTGCTCCACTGAAACACCTGGGAACCGAGAGGGGACAGCATGAGTCACATCACACCGGAGAGGAGTTTCGATTGAAGTTTTAGACCTTTTTTTATAGATTAAACAGCCCGAAAATGACACAGAGGAGGAAGATGTTTTCCTTCCTGCGGTCAGGTAAGTCAGTTTGATTAAATGTCGCAACACTATTTTCATCCTAAAGCAAACAAAAGGGGAGTTAAAAGTTTAAAGTAACCTGCTAAACCTCTTGTTCCTCGCCATATACCAAAATAATTTGCTCTGATGTCCTAATAGGAAGAACATATAGTTAAATACTTCAGTCCTGGATCTTTTCATAACTACCAAGTGTGAATTAAAGCCACACGAAATTACTTTCTACTCAATACTAGTTTTTTAATGTAATGATTTAATGATATGACATTGTTTGTAATGCATTGCATCATACACTTCATACAGCAGACATTACCCATTGGGAACCAGAGAAATAGTATGTTTCTGTCCCATAGGACACACATAAGAAAATGGCTAAATCATAGTTAAAATAATAGTAAAAACTACAATTAGGAAGTCTGTATTCTAGATTAAAGTCTGGAATAATATAATACATGTTGTTTTGCTGTTACGGTGTACACATTGTGGTTCCAATGAGTTTCAATGGGGACATTTTGTACTTGCTTAATGTATGCTATTTAAATGAACACATCCAAAATAATATGTTGAAAACTGTAAATATCAAGTTCACATTTGAGGTACTTGTACTTTATTTGTTTTGGTACTTTCTACTACCCCGCTACATTTTGGAGGGAACTTGTACTTTTTACTCCTAAATGATATGTCCACTTTCTATTTTACATTTTAAAAAAGTCTGATAAGTTTTGAATCGTTATTTTCTGTCTAAAGGGGTCACATTTACCTACTTTTACCTGAGATGACTCTTCTCCTCACACGTCCCCTGATTTATGTAAAAGGTTTTATAGGGTAACAAAGTTCACATTGAGCTCATCGTGCTCAATGGGATCCATCATTTCCTGAGGTGTAATCTAACGTCCCCATAAAAATCTCACAGAAAGTCACTGTTCTGCTGAGGTGAGGCTGCATCACACTCAGGTGGCACAGAAAGAAGTACTCAGAGTATTACTTACTTACGAGTAGCATTACTTTATTACAGGTACAGGTTCTTCCTTTAAATTAGGGCTGTGTGATTATGGCAAAAATCATAATCTCGATTATTTTTGGTCAATAATTGATATCACGATTATATTTACTTTGAAAACATCCAAAATGTGAACGGTATGTTTTTAACAGTTGATTACCCTGAACTTTAAGTATAATTCAACTGAAAAACCATTAAAGAGAACAAATAATAATAATCTTTTTATTTCGATTATGTTGTTTTCATAATCGTTGCAAGCCAACATCGTAATTGCGATTTAAAATATGATTCATTGAGCAGCCCTACTTTAAATCTTACTTTAGTAAAAGTATTATCATCAAAATATAAAGTAAAGTAAAAGTACTCATTATGCAGGAGGATGGTCCATTTTAGATTAATCCATTATATATATAGCTAATTTGAAATACATCTTGTACTGCCGGGTAGCTTCATCATTAATAATACATCATATGTTATTATTTAATTATACTTATATTAATAACCTTAGGCTGTTAAATAGTTATATAAGATTTGCACATTATTTTTGTGGAGTAAAAGTACCTACATTTGTATTTATGTACAGTATGTGAGTATACTGTCATGCCATACAAGTGACCCCTTAAAAAACACAAAAAAGTACCTGTTGCAGAGGTGAAATACTTTCCGACAACAACAAATTACTGACATTATAACTTTACAATAATGAGGTGATTATTTTTGCACTTCTTTCTCATGGTTTGTCTGTATGTGAAGATGTAGTTCCGTGTGCTCTGTGATGAAATAGGTGGTCATTATAATCTCAGTTTAATTACCCGTTTGCCTGCAGTGAGAGACCGTCCTCCGGAGGATATCCACATCTCCTCTCTGCCTCCCAGTGTTCCCACAGACCAGGAGCCAGAGCAGAACGGAGGACGAGGTGAGGATGTTTGCTTGTTGACAACTTATGTTTTTGTGTTGTTCCTGCACACTAAAGCATTATGCTAATTTTCAGGTTCATGTTTTTATTTTTGCCTCTACTCCTGTCACATGTCTCCATACTTTATTTATCTCATACTGCCTGTGCTGCAGCACCTCTGTTCACCCTCTGTCTGAAACCAGATCCCAGTCTACTCTGATTGGTTAGCTTAGAGATGTCCCGCCCATTAGCATCACTTACGGCTTTTGCGGGATCTGAGTCTTTGTAGACCATTTACATGCACCAAAACATATATAACACACTACAGGAAAGGGAAGACCTAATAAACATAATAGAGCCCCTTCAAGGCAAAATGACTTTCTTGATAGAAATGGTGGTGGTTCACCGCTTTGGTCCTGACTGATATTTCTAAAATATCTCAACGACTGCCATTACATTTCAGTATGTGCATATATTCCAAATGAATCCTGAATGAATGATGAATCCTGGTGACCTTAGTGATCCTGTGACCTTACGTTTAACACCAGCTGTTAAACGTTTTACCTTGACATCTACCGGGCAATTAAGTTTTATTTCCAGGAAGCCTGTAATGCATATTTACAACTCAGAGGCAATTGAGAGTGTTTTACACAGGACAATAACAGCAATATAATGAGTTTTAAAATGCTGTGATCAGCAAACATTAAGATGACCTCGAGGGATAAAGGTGTTTTATTTGTAGATTTTAGCTCAGATTTTAATACAATCCAATCATACCTGTTTGTCCAGAAGTTAGATGACGTGTAAGTTAATTCTCGTATTATTTAATGATTAAAAGACAGATGTTAAACCTGTTAAACATCACCATGTTAGCGTATTCATTGATGGACTTTGTGCCCCCGCTAGCATGGCTGTAGACTCTTAGAATAATTCATTTTAGTTCAGTTTCTTACGGGAACATTTGAGTTATTTACTGTGTGTGATACTCTGTACATAACTTTGCTATTCACTGGTAGGTACACTTTTGTGGTGAATTTTCTTTACTTGAGTATGAAGTGAAGTTAGTTCAGATTCCGATTTTACATTAAAAAACATGAAAAGCTTCACATATGCGTACATTGTATTTCCATTTCTAACTAAGAATGGGTTTGATTACCTCATCTTTCTCTATCATCATCTAACCTGAGCTTTACAGGCTCAGTTGTGCATGAATAAAGACTCAGCTGCTCATACAGGATGTTTTCTTGCACCCAAAACACACATCAGAGTTAAAAAACAAGTGTTACTTTGCTATGCTAATGAACAGAAACTGCCTCTTCACGATGCAGGTGCCGACATCAACTGTGTCAATGTGTTGGAGTCATTTACTGTGGATGTGTGTGTTTACCGCAGTGTATGATTTGTGATGTGTAGTTTTTGTTTTCTAAGATATTTCAGCTGGGGACATGGAGGGAGAGATATCAGTGGTCCAGACGACGCACACACACAGAGGCTCCGCCCCCTCAGTCTTCCTCCAGAAACAGAATAATGAACCGGTTTCTAGTACCTACTTTGAACAAAAGGTCCCTGTTCCCGAGGAGGACGGCGAGGTAAATCAATGCGAAACACCACATGAGAAAACCCGTAATCAAAGACAAAGCAAAGAAAGACAAATCATTGTAGAGATTTAAAGAATGTTTTTGCTACATTTATAAGCAAGTATTAAAGTATGAACTGTTTGATGTTGTCAGTGTTACAAAGGGGTATAACGTACATTTACTAAAGTACTGGATTCATTACAATTTGGGATACTTCTGCAACACAATTGCAGTTTTATTCAAGCTTCAGTTACTACTACTATTACAGATGTATATCACGCATTTTAATCATTAAGTAATTGGTAGTGTTTTATATGTTAAGATACATTTATTTGATATCTTGATGTAATTACAAGCTAACCCCTAGCCATTAAATAAGGCTCCTTAATTACCAGCTGCAACAGTTAAGTGATCAACACAATAATGCATTAATAATTCAAATCAATATTATCATATACATTTTTCTGCAATGGAATCAATACAGAATCAATACTTCTTGTTTTTATGCTTTTTCTGTGTTTTGATGCTACCACGTTTTTACCTTTACTTACATTTTTTAATGCAGGACCTTTGCCAGTAACATAGTATTTCTACCCTGTAATTGTACTACTTTCCTTGAGTTAAGATTAGAGTGCTAACTTTACTCTCTGTGTCCTGCAGAAGTGCTTCAGTTTCAGGAAGCTGTGGGCCTTCACGGGGCCGGGCTTCCTGATGAGCATCGCCTACCTGGACCCCGGGAACATCGAGTCGGACCTGCAGTCTGGAGCTAAAGCTGGCTTTAAGGTAACCAACGTCAAGTTTAGACCACATAACAGACACTTTGACTCAGTGTGGAGGATTACTGTCCATCAGAAACACTGTCTATTGAGAGAAAAGCATTTTTAATCGTTTTCGCTGTTTCAACAGCATACAGTTATTCTATCAGGGCATGTATCAAAAGTAGGCTAAACAAATCTTCACTTTATAGAAAAATAGATAGAGTAACAATGTAAATACTGCTTAAATCGTTTTGTTTAAAGTGTGAATCCATTAGGAATTTTAGGGAGATAGGAATTTTGATTCTTGCATTAATAAATGTTTCCCTCACCACTAATTTCTATTGTCACACCCAATCACATAAGGTTATCAAATTCAGACCAGAAGTGACAAGGTACAAATGTAATGTTGTAAGCCTGTGAGTAATGAGTAATAGCACATTGGGTTATGATTGTGACTGTTTTAAGTTGTCTGTAACTGTGCTGCTGCCGCCTATCTTGGGCCAGGACTCTCGTGGGAAATATTTCTAATCTCAAGGTGATCTATCCTGGTAAAATAAAGGTTAGACAGGCAGCTTCCCTCCCACTCTGTTGTTTTTGTTCTGTCAACACTCAGTCATATAAAAAGATAATACCATTCACACTTCCTGAATGCTGGGTCACTTCCATTCCCTCTCAGGTTTGCCCGACATCAGAGAGCCTATCAATACTGCGGGTCAAAGTTTAACACAGGTGAACTTTGTCCTGAGGGAGCTGCTAACACATTCCTGAATTCATTAGTGAAAAGAGCTTTTAATAAAGTGAATGAGAGGCTGAGTGAATATTCACAGAGAGTGACCGAGCCCTCCGCCTGACCCTAGGTCCAATGTTGGGTCATTCTTCTCCAGTTTCAGTTCACTTAAAGCTGCAAAATACTGACCAAAAACTCCCTTTTTGTGTTTCTTAAATACTTAATGTCCCAACATTATTCGGATAAAATGCACAGAAACTATTTTGGATGATTTAATTCACCAACAGTGTTTAAGACATACTGTAACAACAACAACTTTATCAGACAATATCCTGTGTTCTTTAAGTAGGTATATAAGTATTATATTGATGTTTTATCAGGATGATGCAACAATAAAACACCACTCCCTTTGTGTTTAGACTTTAGGAGCGTGTTGCAGAAGGGGAAGTGGATGCAGATGTTATGGCATCAACACAGAGCTTAAAAGATTTAGTCGTTTCTTTAAATGACACATTGCCAAAACAAATGTACCGTCTTAAATTGTAAATTACCCCATAGAAAGTTTCAAATGTTGAAAAGAATGTGTTAAGAAATTATTGTACAAATTATGAAACATTGAGGTTTTACAAATACTTTTTAAAGTGTGGTTTTGGTGTTTGCAAATTAGTGTTTTCTAGTTTTTGTAGCAACTTAATGTCAATAAAGAATCACTTGCAGTGTGAGACATGAACACGTCTTTCTTCACATATTTCTATGTTCAGGTGGCAAACAGCTCGACAGCATTGACCATACTTCTATCAAACTATTGCTATTGTGTTTAAAATGACCAATCACAGGTGGGGAATGGCAGGTATCTGAAATAACAGAAGTGAATGACTGGAAAACAAGACAAATGTGCTATTCATATAAAACCTTGAATAAATGTTAAATCCAATGTGCTAAATAACTTCCCAAACTTGGCTTTTTTCAGGTTTACAAAGAAAATTTTACATCTACAAACTTATGAATTATTTCTATTGTCATTTCACAACTTTAATGACTGTGTTGACTCTGGGTTAAGCTCATGAAGGCGTCAGATTAACAGCTGTCCCCTCCTTTCAGCTCCTCTGGGTGCTGCTGGCGGCCACCATCATCGGCCTGCTGCTGCAGCGGCTCGGCGCTCGACTCGGCGTCGTCACGGGGATGCACCTCGCCGAGGTCTGCAACCGGCAGTACCGCACGGTGAGACATCCGCTGTTTGCATGAGATCTTCAGTGCCTTGCCTTCTCCAAAACCTGATCTGATGCACAGGAACGATCTTTCTTAGAGGCTCTTAGCAGAAGTAATGTTGGTTTAATGAAAAAGCCTGAATGAATGACCAGCTTTAGCTCTATTTTCAATCTATACAAACAACATTTATTGCATTTATGTTCTTCCTGGGAGTTATCTTCCCTTTGTCCCCATGGGGTTTCTATGGAGGTTTTTCCTCACCTGCTGCAGGGGTGTAAGGACAGAGGGTGTCATGTGCTATACACACTGTAAAATACAATTACAGCTATAAATGATAGATAAAAGATTCAAACGAAGTCAATAGTATCTAAATATATACATATTACAAAGTATGCAAACAGAATGCTTTGCAATATCTGCAATATTCAGACCTTTGACTGCTTCCATATTGCATTTCCTTCTTTTACAGTAATGTATATCTGAATTTCCATTATCTGTTATTTCCCTCTAAAAGTAATCCAAAACAAATGCTCACTAACCTGTTGTTAGCTTGAATACTGAATGTCTGCTGACATTAACAACTCATGTCTCTCTCCTGTGCGTTGTGTCAGGTTCCTCGTATCATCCTGTGGTTGATGGTGGAGATCGCCATCATCGGCTCCGACATGCAGGAAGTGATCGGCTGCGCCATCGCTTTCAACCTCCTCTCCTCCGGCAGGTGACCTGAACACAACTTCTTTATATCCGTCACTGGGTTGGCGCTGGAGAAGTATAGAGATCCTTTAGTACAAAATACCTTGTAAAAATACTCTCTGCTGCGAGTAAAAGTTCTAGATTTCAAATGTTAATGCTTGATAAGGTGGGGCAGTAGCACTCTGTCTATTGAGCTATTAATGGCGTTTCTAACTTAAAACGGCGGTAAAGTCTTGTTTTAAAATGTGAATAACTCCATTTCTACATGATTTTGTGATTGAAATATTTGCAAATAGAAACCAATAACTTTTCAATTAGAAAATACATTTTTTTAAAGTTACCAATTATACTAACTAATTGATAAATCAACTACTCGTTTCAGCTGCTTAAGCTTTGGGAGGTTTTATTTATAAAAAGAAAAATACATCATATGTTATCGTATATTTTTTATATGCAAACGTCATCATTTATAAAGTAATTCAAGTTAAAGGTGGGGTAGGTAAGTCTGAGAAACCGGCTCGAGATACACTTTTTGTTATATTCCATGGAATGCTCTTAACATCCCGATAGCAATGAATATCTTAAGTGCTTTGACAAAAAATCCATAAACGTCATCAGTGGAAGCCGTGGCGCTGTAAAAAGTACGACCAATCATCTGAGCCGGCCCGGCTAAAGTAACTGGATGGCCTACCTGCCTGTCAGCCTTCCATCTGGGCATAAACTTATCTCGTGCCCTCATCGGTCATGTGCGCGTTCGTGTGTGTTGGAGGAGGGGCTCTGTAAGGAAATGGCAGATTTCTTCCGGCTGTGTATTTTCAAATTCTAGCGCACTCAAGCTGGTTTCTCCAAAATGACCGACCCCACCTTTAAGATAAATCTGGTGAAGGTAAAAGTACAATATTTACCTCTGAGATATAGAGAAATGTATTTTCAACTTTCCAAAAAACGTTACACTACTTAGTAAATTAACTTTGTTACATAACTTCACTGTTTCAAACATGCTTTTACATGGCTTTAATACTACTTTTTCCCCAATGTGTGTGTGTTTGTCCACCTTTAGGATCCCGTTGTGGGGAGGCGTTCTCATCACCATCATCGACACCTTCGTCTTCCTCTTCTTGGACAAATACGGTTTGTTGTGCTCGTGCTCTCACGGTAAAATATGTTGCTAAAACAAGAATGAATTAAAACCTCCTCGTTTCTGTCCTTGCAGGCCTCAGGAAGCTGGAGGCCTTCTTCGGTTTGCTCATCACCGTCATGGCCATCACCTTCGGATATGAGGTAAAAACATTTACATATCTGCAGACAAGACTGAATAAAACGAATTCTTTATCACGCTTCTCCTTTCCCTACATCAACATTTATTTGCCTGTCAGTCGGTTTGTTATATAACATCCAACCTAATAATTCTGCGGCCTTTCACCAATATTGAATGATACAAACCGGCTCAAGAACAGTAAGAACAACTAGATTTAATAGAAAGTAAAACAGTTCTTACTTGCACTGCCAGGCTGTGGCTTATAATATACTTATCCCCTTCATTCAAATCCCCAAAAGTTCAACCACAGATAATAAATGGCAGGGTCAAGGCACCTACATTTCACATGTGAAAACAAGTAAACGCATAGTGTCAGTACTTATCTTGGGGTTGTAGCTATTTGCCCTCAGAAAGTTGAAATATGGCACAAACAAACAATAAAATATGATTTCAAGTATAGAAAATAAAAAAGTTGTCTTTGACTACCCAACTAAGCAATCTAACACATCTGATATTGTTACAGCCCTGATAATAGATTCAAATTCTCTTTCTTTTTTGTAATCTCTGCTTTTTTTTCTTGCTTTTTTAAATCTAAGCTCACAGCCAATTTATATTATGCTGCCAATAGTCACATTTAGTTTTGTTGATTGAAGTGATTTAGTTAGTTTTTGCTTTTACTCTGCATACTATATATCTAGTATGTGGTTCTTTGAGGCTGTGAAAATGCTTTAGAATATATATTTCTGTTTTTGGGAATTGAGGAGATCTTTGCTCGATGTCCGATGTTTTTAAACTGGGCTTACATCAGATCTGAGATGGCTCTGTTAAAGTGTAATCCTGTTTGCCTTTTTGACATTTCTGAGTGACCTTTCTGCTTTCATTCTGTAGTAATATCTGGCCTAATCTTGTGACTCCTTCTCAGTTTAAACATCTTCCATCATCAAATTAAAGAACAATCGCAGACTGCTACATAGTCACCATTAAAATACAAAATAAAAATGTGTTTGAAGCTGATGTACTTGCAGGATTATGCTGCTCTGAATTTGTTTCTTTATGGTTGATTGCCCTTCTCTCTCTCTCTCTCTCTCTCTCTCTCTCTCTCTCTCTCTCTCTCTCTCTCTCTCTCTCTCTCTCTCTCTCTCTCTCTCTCTCTCTCTCTCAGTATGTGACGGTGGGTCCGGATCAAGGCCAGCTGTTGAAGGGGATGTTCGTGCCGGGCTGCGAGGGCTGCGGCCCGGTTCAGATGACTCAGGCCGTCGGCATCGTAGGGGCCGTCATCATGCCTCACAACATATACCTCCACTCTGCTCTGGTCAAGGTGAGATCAAATGCTTGTTAAATCAGGGCAGCTGTAGCTCAGGTGGAGCAGTCGTTCACCAATCGGAAGGTCGTGGTATAATCTTCTGCAGTCAAAATGGAACATGTCAAAGTGTCCTTGCGCACAAAACTGAACCCCAGGTATCTCCGGAGGGCCAGCGGTGTGTGAGTGTGTGTGAATGTTAATAATTTCTAACAAGCAGGTGGCACATTATATGAATCCCTCTGTCACAAGTGTGTGGGAGAGAAACTCACTCTGGAGGGAACTTTGGGATTTTGGCCTTTGCAGACCATTTACATGCACAAAAACCTATACAACACACTACTACAGGAAAGGGAACACCCCAAAGAGCTTAATAGGGCCTCGTTAAATAATTCATTCACACAGAGGCAGAAGCTTTAATATAAAATGCCACCTGCTCTGGGAAGCTAACATTCACACACTTTCACACATCGGCAATTTGGGGTTCACTTTCTTGCCAAAGGACACATCAACAGTGGGGTCAAACCACCGATCATCCAGTTGGAGGACGACCATCTACCTCCTGAGCCATAGCTGCCTAACAACAACGTTTAATAGTGTTTGTAAATGTGTGTGTGAATGTTGACATCGGTGCCTTGATTTGTCACAAAGAAAAGTGGTATATTATTTCAGTTAAATCTTCATTTTTGAATTCTCCTGTGTAAATCATTAAGTGTCCAAATGTCCTCTCAGTCTCGAGACGTGGATCGGTCGAACATGAAAGAAGTAAAGGAGGCCAACAAATACTACTTCATAGAGTCGACCGTGGCGCTCTTCATCTCCTTCCTCATCAACGTGTTTGTGGTGGCTGTGTTCGCCGAGGCTTTCTATGAGCGAACAAACGAAGAAGTGGTGAGTATCTCTGCGGCTGCTCTTATAGTGTAATAAGAGGGAATCTTAAGGGAATATTTGTATATGTGTATCTATGTATGTATTGTTTGGCTACAGATGTGTGTTTTTTATTTATTTATTCCAGTACAACGTCTGCAATCAAACGGGAAGTCCTCACTCACATCTCTTCCCTCTGAACAATGAGACTCTGGAGGTGAACCTCTACAAAGGGGTGAGTTAAAGTTGGGTTGATTGATCGTTGTTAATTTAATGAATTTCAATTCCAGCTATTTAGAGTTGTTCATGCATGATACATCTTGAAATGTACAAGCTACCCAGCAGATAATGCATATGAAACAAAACTAGCTCCACCTTCACCAGCTGCAACATAATAGTCACGTACATATAGATGCACCAATATTTTAAATACTGTTAAAGGTCACCTATCATGCTATTTTTAGGCAATAGCATAGGTCTCAGATATATAAAAAACATGTCTAAAGTGTTTTGCTCAAAATACCAAACAGATCACCCATTCTAGCCATGCCTCATATCTATGGGCTCAGAACAGTCTCATAATACACAAATGCACACAGAAGGATTCACACTTGTATTTCATGACCTGCAAAAGGAGTCACACTTTTTTTCAATGCACACACAAATGTGTTCTGTTTCATATACAATAAAAAACAAGGTCCAATGTTGACAAAATTAATCAATAGCGGGTGTAACTAAAATACAAGATATATATTATTAATAATAATAATAATATAAAAGATTGTATTTACGTGTATTTTTAAGTGGCGCTGTACTGAGAGTGGCAATTTTATTTTGTAATTATATAATGATATAATACTTGTAATAATGGTGCGTTCACACCCGATGCGATGCGAATAATCGCTCGAGTTTCACGGCGGCTGTCAGCTGTGTTTACTCGCCTCATTCATCTTCAGCTTCTCGAGCCGTATCTGGCCGTGCAACACTTATAGTCACATACTGTATGCAGAAGTGTTATTTCAAACAACACATTAAGTTGACGAAACACTTGAGTCAAATGTAATTAAAGTCAGATCCACTCATGTCTTAGACGGGGCAGTGCTATCGTAAACCTGTTAATGTACGCGTTCAAACACTCTGTATTGTTTCTGTATTCACCTTGCAGGTGCAGCTATGTTGCTTTATCCTGGATTAAATGTTTAAATCATGGATGTTTAAAGTGTAACTTCTTCATATTTGTCTACTATAGTTTACTTTTCATTCATGAAGTTTGACGCTGCGCTCTCAGTACGCTTGTCCATGTTTGTGATTGGTCAACTGTTGCTCACCCCGTCCCTTTCACGTGAACGCGCTCTCGGCCGGACAGAGAAACCCTGGGTTGATTTACCGAGTTGATAACCAGCGTCGTAGACATACTTGCCAACCCTCCCGATTTTCGCGGGAGACTCCCGATTTCATTGCCCTCTCCCGGTTTTTTCACGGGGTCATATTTGTCCCGCATTTCCTTTTTTTTTACAAGTCTTTTTATTTCATTATAGTGTACAGTAATCGATGCCATTTCATTTATATTGTAATATCACAGTACCACAGTACACTCACTACACTCCCCCCTCCCTCCCTCCACCCGCAAAAAAAATAATGCTTATCAATATAACTTAAACAACAGAGCCATGAAGATAAACATAAAATGGGAAAAAAAGAAAAAAAATCCACATCAAAGTAAAACAAACAAATAATTATACAATTCATTATACAATACAGCGACAATATAGACAATGACAACACAACTAGTATTTCCGGCCGTCAGGAAAAATAGCCACAGAGTGCACCATTCCATCACTGGTCATATCTCAGATATATTTTCCAAATAAGAAAACAATGGCAACCACAGAGCTTGAAAGATATGTCCACGATTATATTTTTCCAATGTCATTTTCTCCAGAGGTAAAAAATGTGTTATCTTATCAATGAAAAGTTTAAATGTTGGAGGACATTCATTCTTCCAGAGTAAAAGTATACATTTCTTGGCAAAATATGTTATTGTGATTAGTATTCTGTAATGTTTGGGGTTCAGTTTAAAGTTTGGCATGTAATTTAACAGGAAAAAACATGGATTTTGGCTCATTCCGATGCCTAAAACGGCTTTTGTGAGCGCATGAATCGAATCCCAGAAATGTTTCAAGAGATCACATTCCCAAAACAGATGCATAAATGTTCCTTCTTTTACTTTACATCTCGGACATTTTGAAGAGTTTTCTTTGGAAATGTTATGCATCTTTATGGGTGTGAGGTAACATTTGTTGAGAAATTTAAAATGTGCTTCTTTGATTTTATTGCTTGTGAATGGAAAATGTGTTCTTTCACAGATATTCAGCCAAGTTTCATCTATCTGTATCCCCAAGTCCTTTTCCTTAGGAAAAATCAGATTTACTCACGAATGTTTCCACTCTGACTTTAATACAGGTACACCATTGTTTGGTTTCCATGGTAGCGTGTCTCTTTAGTAGCGTGCGCAACTGAAAGTGTGAGAGGGTGTTCAGAATGGTGAGGAAGATAGTCACAGAAAACAGAACAAGAAAGGACAACTCTACCCTCCGCTCACTCCTTTCCTGTCAAATACAGGTCCAGCCCACACATATGCTCCATCAAGGATGGTGCTACAGGCAGCAAGGCATTGCACTTACAACTACAATAAGTATGTGTAGATGTTCTTTTCATCTTTAAAAGTCTGTTTCCTGGCGCTAACAGTTCTAACAGCTTGAAATGCTCCCAATTTCTGAGGTCTCAAGGTTGGCAAGTATGGTCGTAGGACCGCTTAGCGGGATCTCGCTTGTTAGGGTTATTAGTTAAGCCAGATAACTCAGAGATATCCAGGGTCTGTAGAACTGGCTTCGTAGTACAGGCCACTGACCGATCAGGCTAAGCTAACCTGTAGCTGCTCCCTCCACACTCACAACAACTTCATACAGACATAAATAAAGCAGCTGTATTCGCCATACAGGAAACACACATTTAAAACGGTTTTGCCTGCCGTTTCTGTGTACACAACTATTCATTAATGGTTCGGAAAGTGGCGCTGTACCTTAATAATATAAAAGATTGTATTTGCGTGCATTTCCTGTTCGGAAAGTGGCAATGTACTGAGGGTGTTTCTTAATGTCGAGGACGCTTCCTTGGTAGGACATGTCCCTCCGAGTCAGGTCCATCAGAGTCAGGCAAGAATCTTTCCTTTAATTCGGAGAACGAAGAATGGGACAGGCTAGCAAGTGTGAAGGGGGGGGGGAGCCTTTGGGAGGCCCCGCCTTAAATTATCCGCCAAAGATTTTGGAAATTGGTGAGTGCGCAAAGCATTTTGGGGATTTTAAGACCGCGGAGGATACTGTGGGTGTTTCTCAATGTCGAGGAGGCTTGCTTGGTAGCACATGTACCTCCGAGTGAGTTCCTTCAGAAGCGAAGCAAGAATACCTCCTAGCCACGGAAAACGAAGAATGGAACGGGCTAGCAAGTGTGCAGGTGTGCGTCATATGAGAGGCCCCGCCTTACATTTTCCGCCAAAGATTTGGGAAATTGGTCCATGCTCAAAGCATTGTGGGGATTTTAAGACAGCGGAGTCTACACATGTGCGGCCTCGAAATTTTCCGCAACGAAGTATGCCGGCCTCTGTAGAATTCCAAGTATCCTGGACATTGGAACAGTCCTTTGGCGGCACTCGAGGATGTAGTATCCTTGAAATAGTGGCTCTGGAGCAGCTTTCCTCGACATTGAGAAACACCCACTGGTGCATCCTCAAAATTTCCTGCAACGAAGGATTCAGTCCTCGGTAGAATTACAAGGATCCTTTACATTGGAACAGTCCTTCGGCGGGATTTGATGAAGTAGCATCCTTGAAATAGTGGCTCTGGAGGAGCCTTCCTCGACATTGAGAAACACCCTGAGAGTGGAGGTGTCCTGAGATTAGCGCCTGCAGGCAAGCTCCATGGAGCTGTCAGCTCCGGACAGCGCGAAATGCGTACATGAAGCGCTACGTCATAAACGCAAGAAATCATACCCTCATGGGGGCGCGCTCATGTGATTGGCTTAGAATGGAGGAGACATCTGATTGGCTATAGATAGAAACAATTACAAGTACGAATCGGGTGACCGTCAGGGGAGTCTCAAAAAACCCACACACGAATGCAAAGCGATCCGTGCACAGAAAGCTGTTTGTGTTTGCAGGTGCAGCGGTTTTACATGGAAAACAAATATGTGTGGATCAAAAATACACATGTAAAACTTGTTTCTGTATTTGGATTTTATTTACATGTATATGAAACGGAACACATTTGTGTGTGCATTGAAAAACACAAGTGTGGATCATGAAATACAAGTGTGAATCCTTCTGTGTGCATGTGTGTATTATGGGACTGTTCTGAGCCCATACATATCCCTCTATTTCTCTTCCTGTTACACAAGTGCTGATTCTGGGTATAAACAGGTCTCTCTTGAGAATGAGACCCTGTGTCTCAATGAGATTTTCACCTGTATAAATTAAAAAACGTAACTGAAAAAAATTAAAATAAGAGGGGGCGGAGTTTATGCCGGCTCATGCAGGACCTGGCAGATACTGTCTAAAGTGCTGCAGTGATGAAATGTAAGGATTATTAGATTAAGGATCATCTCTGAAACAGTATGGAGCTCAAAGGCTTTATCTCTTGCCGGTTATACCACAAGGTGAGTTCCTTTTTTATTTCCTGCTTCTTCACACACATGCTCTCCAGTACAGGTTAGCTCTGAGTGTTAGCGATGCTAATGTAAACACCGACCATATTATGTCCAAAACAGTCGGGCATTGTTTCTGATAGCAACGTTTCTGATAGTGCTGTGTGTCCGCCGCTGATTTGACGTCATATCGGCCGCAAATCTGGATCAGCTCCGTTGTACCCCCGTTTTTAGAGATTTGGGTACGGAGGAAAAGAGAGGGTTTTATTTTCTGACGCTGCGTGAGTTCCCAGACACACCGGGGACACATATTTATGTTTAAAAGACGTCAAAAAGTGCATTTTGCATGATAGGTCCCCTTTAAATCATATATTACTCAGAAATGAATGAGTTTTTTTACTAGGTAGAGCACCTGCCCAAACTATGAGCTAAAAGGTGCCTAAATGTTGTGGATGACATTATACAGAAATCATGTTCTCCCTCTCTGTGAGACTTAGCTTGTTTTCAGCTCTCTGTTTTTGTGTTTTTCAGGGAGTGGTGCTCGGCTGTTTCTTTGGCCCGGCGGCGCTCTACATCTGGGCCGTGGGGATCCTCGCAGCCGGTCAGAGCTCCACCATGACGGGAACGTACTCCGGACAGTTTGTCATGGAGGTCAGTGAAGGGCAGAGGAATCAGGCGTGCAGTGTTTTCTCTATAAATGTCACTGACTCATGTGTTTTCTGCCTTCAGGGTTTCTTGAACCTGCGCTGGTCGCGTTTCGCTCGGGTGTTTTTGACCCGCTCCATCGCCATCACCCCCACCCTGCTGGTGGCCATCTTCCAGGACGTGCAGCACCTGACGGGCATGAACGACTTCCTGAACGTGCTGCAGAGCATGCAGGTAAGCGAGAGGGGGGGGTGGACTGTTCAGTGGGAGCTTCAACATCTGTCCACCTCTTCTGTTTTATCTTTCAAGTATCTTTCCTTCTAGATCATCTTCTGATCTCATAGCACTTTATCTGTGAAGTGCTTTTCAATGATTCTGATAACCGGCAATACACAAAAGAAGGACATCCAATCCAATCCACTTTATTTATATAGCACATATTAAAAACAGAGGGTTTACCGTAGCGCTTCACAGCCACATAACATTATAATAAAATATAATATTACAATAATAGATAAAAGGCACACATAAGAATAGATAAAAGGCACATAATGGCTATGGACAGACAAATAAAAGCATACAAATCGATAAAACATAGCTCAAACTGACTCGAAAGCGAGGGAAAAGAGGTGGGTCTTCAGGCGGGACTTAAAAGTTGGAAGGGTGAGCGACAATTTGACATGGGGGGGGGGGCAGGTCGTTCCAGAGCCTGGGGGCTACCGCTGAGAAGGCTCGGTCTCCCCTGGTCTTTCTCTTTGTTTTAGGGACTACCAGCAGCAGCTGATCAGCCGACCTCAAAGCCCTTGAAGGGGTGTACACCTGTAGGAGGTCGGAGATGTACTGAGGGGCCAGCCCATTAAGCGACTTAAAAACAAACAATAAGATCTTAAAATGAACTCTAAAATGGACAGGAAGCCAGTGGAGGGAATTAAGGACATTAGTATGATTTTAAATGATACCTGCAAGAAGAGTTTCATACAAGCTACATTTTATTGAATTCAATAACACTCTGTTCAATACTACAAAAAACCATTGGAGAAGGTAGTGGTAATGGAAAGCAGTTCATTGAATACCAAAATAATTAGATGTTATACAAATTGAGTAAGAAAAATATCTGTTATAAATCTAAAATATAACTATCTTGTGTTTAATTTAATTAATTGTTGCCATTGATGAAATTATTTGTGACGTGTTGTTTACTATCAGTTCTGTGTTTTTTCCCCTCACTTTCCGTCTCCCTCCATGTCTGCTAGATTTTAAATCTGATATGTTTGAATAATACCTGGCAACTGTAATTTCATACATCATGACCACTGCTAATTGTTGTTGTCAGCTTGATGGATATACCCTTATAATACTGCCTTGTTTTAAGACTTGCATCCAGAGATGAGTTAATAAATAAATGCCTTAAGATCTTACCTATAGTACAATCTGACGAGGGACAATGTATTGACTGTTTCTGTAGTTTGAAGTATTTTAAGTTAATATACCCAGCTTTAAGAGATTGGAAAATGATGCTGTTTGATTATCATTCACTCAATAAGGTAATAGAGTAAACACTGTGTACATCAGGTTGTCAATAGTTATTGAAATGTTATTAATAAGGGTCTTTGAAAAAGTCATGGAAAACTTAAAAATAACACATTTTCATTCTTCTCTCACAGCTGCCATTCGCTCTCATCCCCATCCTCACTTTCACCAGCCTGCCATCTCTCATGAACGAGTTTGCCAACGGATTGTACGTTCATCCGCATCTTAAACACATCAAATAAAATGATATTAGTTGCTCATTTAAACACACTTGTTCTCTCTTTCCTGCAGAGTGTATAAGATCGGGGGAAGCCTGGTGATCCTGGTGGTCTGTGCCATCAACACGTACTTCGTGGTGGTCTACGTGACGGAGCTGAACAGTGTGTGGCTGTATGTGCTGGCTGCGTTCCTCTCCATAGCATACCTGACATTTGTGGGATATTTGGTAGGTAACACAAGAGCCACGGATCTAAGATGAGGAGCCTTTGAGAAACCTGAAACTGGTTCCAGTAGCCAAATATTCCACAGGAAGTAATGTCGGAAAGAATAGTCAAGGCAACTGAGAATGGTGTATTAACACAATTTACAATGCTGTCGATTTGACCTGCTTGTTATTACTATCGAAGTATTATTACTGCTATTATTAATGTAACTTATTCTTGAAATGAGATCACATGCATTTGGCAAATCTGAAAAGCCCTTCTCACTCCAGGTGGTTTCAAGATTATTGAAATGTTCATGTAAAACTAGACCAGAATGTTTAACGCCATGAAAGTAGTGTTAGTCGTAAACACTGTTATACATCTTATTATGTCATGGTGAGTGGAATAGAAAATGGACGTACAGCCTAAACCATTAGTCAATTAGTTAAGTTATTTATCCGTAACATTTGGTTCGGCAAAAACAGATTAAGAGAAACAAAACTTCAGACCGTGTTCTGACATTTTATGAAACAAACAATTAATTACGAAAACAAAAAGCTTATAAGTCTATGATAAGAAAGAATCATTGTGACTTTTAGCACCCCTTATGTGCACATATATAAGATCTTGTGAATGAGCTGTACAAACATATATCTTTTAGTATTATTTATCATTATTGTATATGTTTAATGTAATGATGTAGCCTCTTTACTGATATTGAATATAACTAGGAAAATAAGGTAAATACAGTTCTAAAGAAAAGGAAATATTGTATTTTTCTTCTACGTCTTTTCCTTAGTTAACCTTCATAGCTGTATCTTATACTAAATACCTGATCTTTGTCTGATTGATAGACTGATAATAATCTGATAATCTGTGTGTGCTGCAGGTGTGGTTGTGTCTGATCGCTCTGGGAGTTTCCTGCCTGGATCCGAGCACGAGGAGAGGGAACGACACGAGGATCCTGATGGAGACGCAGCCGGAGTTTGACTCCTGAATCACATGAGGACTTTATTTAAAAGGTGCAGCTGTGAGCAACCACACTGACATTTGACTGTTTTCTCTTCCAAAACATGTAGTCTTCTTAAGTGTTTATTTATAATAGGACTACAGAAATGTATTTTTTATTGGAATACATATTTCATTTCAAATCTCCGTTAATGATTCTTTAAAGCAATTAAGATTCTTTTTGCTAAATTATCAGCTCTAGGTGTGTGAAAGCAGGTTTATTGTAACGGCAGTTAAGATTACAGTTAAATGTAAACCTAATAGTTAAATTAAAACTACTTTGGGGTCGGGGTAAAGCAAGTAACTCAATACCTCACTGTCTCATATGATATCACTTCACCACTCTGCAGGCTTTCATCGAAATGAAAGAACAAAATAAAGTGTTTATATGAAGATATGATAAATAAATGTATGTAAATTGAGAAAAGAGAAAGTAATGCATGAAATAAATATTGATGTTTTTTTAAACAATATGTCTTGAGAAAATGTTTAACTGTTCCCTTAAACAAAACATAGCAAACAGCGTCAGACAGTAACTTTTGTATTTGATTAGCACAAAGCTCATATTGAAAATCAGTGCAAAAAATTCAAGATGGAAACATGCTAAAGACAGCAAAAATACTTATTTACATCGATAGTCCTTAGGTAGGTAAAAAAAACAGAAACATATAAAGTGAAAATATAAATAAACACGTACATAATACACAAGTAGGTGGATCACAGTGTGGGTTTTCCTTAAGCTATTGTTTAAGGTCATTTTACCATACAATATTTAAACAAAAAACATTTCAGAGTTTGTGCAAGTTCAATTAAAGACGTTTTCATTCAGTACTTCCCAGCATTATACAAATTAAGTTCCTGATGATAAAGTTAATTATAGTAATTTGAACCCGACCCAGAAAAGCAATAAAAAAATAAGATAAGAACTTTATTGACCCCAATTTGTGAAATGTTTGAATTTCCCAAATAGCTTCCTTCAGCACAATCTACTGTTGCAAACATTCCACTTTTAGCTTAGATTTATTTGTAAGTTTAGCAACACAAGCAGGCACGCATTAAGAGGCTCTTAAAATGTAAAGTGAATTGCCCTCAGAGGCCTTTGTTAGGAAGCAGAAATCAATGTTTTGTAAAATGCAATTTCTCTTTTGGCCACAGGGAGGCAGTGCAGTCCCTCCTCAGATCCTGAACATGCCTCTCCACCAGAGCTGAACAACATAACACATTTAATGACACGGTGTGTTACATCACACTTCATGTTGTTATGGCTGCACAGAAACAGCAGGATTCTATCAAAGGAAATCAGATAAATCAAATGAGTGTCAGTGACTGGCTGTAACGCTGCTGTACATTCAGATGTGGTTGAGATGCCTGTGGTGAGGTCTGAAGAGTTGCAACTATTGTGTAACTACAAGCAAACACGGCTGGTTTCACTGTTACTTGAATTCCTGACCTGAAGTGCTTCGACATTTTCAAGCCGAGGAGAGGCGGACGGACAGGTTTTTCTTTGCATTGTGGCGGGGAACTTTTTTTTTTCCTGTAATGGAGGCAGAGTTATGTAAGGGAGTCTTCCCACCGCCCCTCTGTGTTTTTGTTTTTCTCAATGAGCCAAATGTCTCCCTGCCGAGGCCTCACAGCCTGTCCAGTAGGCCCCTTTCCTGGAAACATAGCCTAGCAGAGGCCACTCGGGGGCAGGCCCGCGAGGTGGGAGGAGGGGAGGGAGGGAGGGCTCTTCCAGCAAATCACATGGTTTTAGCCCCTACAGTCCCAGCCCTACATGAGGCTCAGATGCTGCAAGCACATTTCAACAGCTAGTTGTCATCAACGTGATTGGATGTAGCTATTGCATGGCAAGAGTGCATGAGGCTGTAAGTAGACGCCGTGGATTCCCAGGTGTGAAGTGTAGAAATAGAACCACAATGCCTGATGTGTGTGTTTGTTTGTTTGTGTGTTAAAGGTTAATGTGAGGTTTTGTTCATGTTTGTTGCCATACATCACAGATGTATCCATGCTGTATCAATTGAACAGAATATTTTCTCATTAAGATTAAAAGATTGAAATGATCTATTTTATCAGTATTTTATTTGTACATTTGCTTATAGTTGTTGACAGTGTTTAGTCGCTGATTTATCTTGCAGAAAGGACATCCTTGCTGCATTCGTTTTAGCAGAAAGCCCCATGTCGTTTTATTGCTGCAGCATGGACTGATTTAATGGGTTGCAATTATAAAAAATCATTAAATGCGCTATTGAATTGTAAACAATCAGGTCCCACTGAACACACACAATAAACCACAACATGGAAATACAGGATTTGTATATCAGGGTTGTTAATAAATGAATGTATTCATATATGTTCCTTCCACTCTGCAATCATGATGAATTTCAGGGGTTTGAACGTGCCACACTTGGTTCATTTTTTCTTCCACCTTGTGTTTTCACCTTGACATCAGTTCTCATAACTGATGAGAGATGGATGGAGCTTTAACTTGTACCTGATGTTTGAAGAAACATGTTTTTATGTGGTTTTCACCTTTAACACTCAGCGCAGGACCAGCTGACCCCCTTTTCTTCTCTTCTCCTCAGAGGTATGCAACGTTACAAGAAGAAGAGGGCACCAGAATCAGGCACAGATAATGCATTTCAAATTGATTCAGTAAAAAGTGGCATCAGCTGAAGACCACATGACATTTTCCAGCTCTCGGACCATACTTATTTTTGTATATATTTTTACATAGATCTGTCAGTGCTGCCTCAAAATGTCCGACACCAGGAATGCAAACAGCGGGGCCATTGCTGTTTATGTCTTGCATTGTGGCCTCTGTGGGCCTGGCAGAGCTTAATGGGCCCATGTGTTTGGAAAGGCTACACTGACTATTTCAACTCTACTTATTCCTTTAAGTGTTTCTTTGTGTTTTCATGACCTAAATGTCTTATTGATGAATGTTTTATGATCTGCTGTTGCTAAACTCCTCATCAGTTGCTCAGGTGGAGAAAGTACTTGGATCCTTTACTTCAGGAAAAGTAGAAATGAGCCTAAAATACTCCATTACAATTTAAAATCCAGAATACAAGATGTTACTTTAGTAAGTAAATGAAAGAAATGTTATCAGCTAAATGAATGTGACGTATCAAAAGTAGATTAATATATTACTGTAGAATATTATATCATGTTTTTATCCCTAACAAATGCATGTCAAAACATTTTAATATTGTAGTTTATTAATGTGGAGCATAGATTATCATAATTGTATAACAGTATTGCATCCTATAATATCAGCCATGCTCATATTATAAAATGCAGTGCAATACTACAAATATATATAAGATTATTTATGTGCAAAGAGTAACTGTATTTATGTACAAATGTAACTACTATTTTGAGTGAAATACATGAAGTGTAGTAAAAAGTACAATATTTACCTCTGAAATGTAGTGGAGTAGAAATATAAAGTAGCATAAATGGACAAATAAAGCACCATAATGTCAAAAATAATACTAAAGTATGGGACTTGAGTAAATGTACTTGGTTACATTCCACCAATGCTCACAATGCATCAGGTTTAATCAGGTTTTAGAGGATAAGGAGGCGCTGCGTGCTGTAAATAAAAAAATATCCGGGGACCAACTGGTCGACCACATTGCCAAACACGATGTCAAACCCACTTCCATTATTTGAACACGGTAAAACATGTGTTTTAAGTTTTCCCACCTTTCAGGAAATCACTTTACAAAAACAAAGTGAAAAGTGATTCCAGCTGATTACAACTTATTTTCATAAATAAACAGCAATAAATTATTCTTTTTTGTATTAACAACAGCGTTGTGTGAGACTTGTTTGTATTTTAACATGATGCAACTATTGTGTATTGTGTATGTTCCTTAAGTCTGTTGTTGCACATGAGAGTGATTGACACAACGCAGTGGATCCCAGAGAAAAACTCCTTCAGCAGTTTTCAGACAAACTATTTCATTTTTCTTTCTTTTTTCTAATACTTACAAATAAGCTCCTGCCTACTATCTAAAAATATTTGTCAGTGATCTTAATCAGGCAAAACTGTGCCAGTAAAAGGAAGTCAAATGAAAGAGAAAATGAAAGGAGTCTAGGTCAGTGGTTTCACTCTGCCCTCTGTTACCCCCACAGAGAGCCAGAGTTATGTACTGTAGTTCTGCATGGAGTTACAATAACCACCAACTCGACTCCTGAGGAGGAGATGCTTTTCACTGCATACCGAGGAGGTCTTTCCGATTAATCTAAACTGGAAACATCTGCTATAGGCTGTTGCATGCATCAAGTTATTTATTCACAACAGAAGCAAGCTCCCCGAACAATGCTAATTAAATATCTATGAAAAAGAAGATCACGTAAGTACTAAATCCTGCCATGGTACATATTGTACGTTTAGTGTTTTTGACTGAATATAGACTTTTCATTTAATAAGCCTGTTTATCAATAAGCCTGAACCCTGTTTTTGGCTGCCATCCTAACCAGATGTTGTGATTTTTTTTTAATGCAACCCTACTGTAGTGCTAAACCATAATTAGCCACTTCTGGACAATAACTAAAGCATTAAACATAACAGGTAAATATGATGCATTTTTTTGGGAGATAATTGCATTTTTTCTGTTTTATAAATGATGTTATCTCCAACTCCTGGAGGAACAAATGCATACTACAAACAACAATTTAATATATTTGTAGAAAAGGAAATGCTAAAAAATAACGAAAACTAAACTTTTTTAAATGATAATAATTGGGGACAAAAATGGAATATGGTAACATATAAGTAGTATATATATCATATTGAAAGTTTAATAATTAAAATAATTACTTTTTGTTTATAGGCCTAAACGTTTTTTTAAATGCTATGTTTAAATATGCAAATGAGGCATAACCTAATAATAACTTTAGGCGACTTCAGGAGAAATATTCGAGAGCAAATAGACAAAGTGAGAAAAATAAACACCTACATCTGTTTGCCGGACGTTTTCCTGTCACTACTCTTAGTAAGAATATGTTATGGAAGCAACATTAGCCCAACAATCAAAAAATTAAACAATGCAAAATAAGACAATGTTTTTTCATGTAGTGTCTCACCTTAGGAGAAGGAACTGTCTTCTTTTATGTGTAAATAAGTATTTGCAAAAATTACTATTATTTTTTAAATAACTTACAAACAATGATCTCGAGCAGCGCTGGAATGTGTTTGGTGCGGCGCGTGCAGGACAGGGAGGAATGCATTAGCCACGCCCCTCTTCGCCAGGGCGTCCAATCAGAGAGCGGAGACGGTTTCAAGGCGCCCTCAGAGTCCCAACCGTAGAAAAACAAAGCCCCGGATAACAACAAAACTCATATTTTACATCTAACTGCCCACTGAAATCCTTTTAAATGCTTCGAAATCGACCGTAGAGATCGATTATCGGTGTTTTTCGTCGCTCTTTAAGGCCTTTCGGGCGATGTTGTTTATCTGTAGTAAAGGGTGGCTTGAAACCGCCCCACCTTGCCCCATTTCCTCGGTTGTTTTCCTCCTCTCGCCTGGATTCTCCATGTTGTTGCTGCAAGAGTACGGACATCGCAGCGTCGCGCTAGAGTGAGCTGCTCGGCAATTTTTACCCGGAATGGTAAACCCGAGACGACGGAGCTGACAGAGTCTCAAATAGTCTCCCCTAAAAAAAACATCCAAGTGCCTTTGCCCCCCTTTTCCCCGGGCGGCGGACCTCCGAGAGACGAAGAAGGAGAAGAAGCGGTGGCGTTGGGAATAAAGAAACCCACGAACAAGACAAATCCTGAGGCGGAGGACACGTTACCTCGGTGAATACTTGAGTTTACTTGTCAATAAAACCCAATGAGGGATGCCCATCAGTGCTCGGGGACAGGATTTGAGGATTTTGAGGGCTCCGTGATTGTCAGATGGAAAGTTCTGTTATCACCCAAGTGCAGAAAGAAGACGTGCAAGTGTCACCGAAAACAGGTGAGATGGGCCTGTGCTTTTGAAGTGTTATTATATCTGCTTGATTTGGTGCTGTATTGAATGTTAATCGGTGTGTATGTAGTGCGCCCATTTGACAGTTGAGATCTGCGGAGCGCGGTCAAAGAGGCGCATTGCCCCCCTTTTTTTCCTTTTTTTTTTTTTACATTTGCCAAACACATCTGTCATATTTAAATCTAATCACTATAAAACCCACATTCACTGAATCTTAAATAATCCAAATGTGTTTTGTTACTAATACTATTGTGCCTATAAGCTGTTTTTCTTCACCTGCACGTAAACAAGTGGTGTTTGAATACAAATGACATCCTTTCTTTTACATTTGTCAAACACATCTGTCATATTTCAATTTAATCCATATAAAACCCCGCATCCACTGAATTCGAAATAATCCTACATTGTTAATTACTAATGTGTTTTACCCAGTAGCTGTTTTTCTTCACTTGCACATCATAAAGTGGTGTTAGAATACAAAAACGTGGGATTATTGTGTAGCTTTACCACAGTTTAGTTCTCCTTTCCTATTGAGTATAGGTTCACAGTCTCCATTTCGCACTGGGTTTGCCATTCAGATCTTAGCAATTCTGGTTGTATCTATTGTTATGTGTAAATCTTCTTAACATGTGGTGTTGTGATCATGGCTGAATTCGTCTTGGTGTTTTTGCTGCTTGTGATCATGGCCAGCTCTCCAAAGCTGCCGTGTATTTATGTCGATCAGGTTCCAGCTTGTTTGGCACCATCCCACATCCTACTACTATACCAGGTACACAGCGTGAAGGAGCTCGTCTGTCACCACAGGCAGCACTAGTACAGTAAAACAAGGCAGTTGGGTTAATTTCTGCTGTTTTTCTTCATATTTTATAGGGGGCAGGGGTCACAGATGAGTGCACGTAAAGACTGCTGCACTGATCCCACGTTTGCCTGTATTTGACTAGTCAAGCTTCTGTATAAAAAGATTAAGCATTTAAAAGGTTGAATCTAGCTGTTGATTATTAACAGAGTATAGAAATACCAGGTGCCGCGGTGTTGACAGCGGAATGCACAAACACACCCCTCTGCACACGCCCATTGTAGCACCGTTTCACAGATTTCCTCAGGCTTGAAAACAGGCTTTACTTGGTTCTTGTGCATAATGCATTATTGCAGACAGAGAAAATGATTCGCAGTGCCCTTTTTTGCATTGCTTGGCATGTTTCGTTATATCACAGACATGTCTGTAGGACTAATCTGCTGTTATGTGTCCTCTCACATGCAGGGGAGATATAATGCATGTGTTATGTCATACATGGCAAATGCTGCCCTTCCTGTGGGAAATCAATATGCTGGTTTACACTGATTGGCTGTCAGGATTTATATTAATCATGTGGATTACATTGGTTAAGTTTGGTTGGTCATTGATTATAAGGGATATATTGTTATTGACTAAAAGTGTGCAGGACTAATGAAGGACATCTGAGGAATGACCAAATCTGGCTCCTTTGTCTCTTAAACATGGTGTTGTGTAACATGGCCCTTGGTGTGTGTCTGCATTATGTCTTCACGGCCTGGAATCTGTAGATTATTAGAAACAAATCTTTCTGATTTGACTTTTCACTGTTTCTCAGCAGTTCCTTTTCCTAGTAAAGTGCGAGTGTGTTTACGATGAGTCTGTTTTAATGGGTATATCAATTATGTTTGCATGTCCTCACATGAAACACACTAGAGGAGGACTGGGAAGAATGTTTTTCTCCCTTTCTTTCACTACAAGTCTTGTGTTGGCCTGGGACTCTTGTTTAGGGTGACTGATCAAAGAATTGCACAGAGCGCTGAGGTGTGACTGCTTGTCCGGATCACTGGCTGTCTGTCTGTTCTGGATAGCTTCAGGTCGCCCCGTAAGGTCTTGGAGTTTAAAATGGTCGGAATGTGTTCTGTCTGTGTTTTCTGTTGAAGGTAGTGCTGAAAAGTGTGGCTTTTCCCGCCCTCTGTGATTATGTAACATGTACCAGCCATTTGCAGCAGCAGAGGCAGGCGCATTAAAAACAGATTTCATGTGCGGGCTGTACCATCCCCATAGACAGATGGACGGTGCCTTTAGGA